TAATGAAGATAGTAAGGGGGAGTTTGGTTTGCAGAATGTTTTTGGAATATGAGGGAATTGTAATCTTCCACACATTTGGTTGGCAGGAAATAGAATGGAATTCAATAAATAAACTAAATAATTTTTTTAACTTTTACCCATAATTAACTTGTTTAGTATTACTATTATTATTAGAGAATGTACATTTATTGGTCCCTGGGTATAGCTGATTTTTTGCAATTTGGTCCTTGTTTTTGTTTCTTGTAACGTTTTTGGTCCATGTTCCAAGTAAAATGACTATTTTTGGTCATGAGTACAGCGATTTTTGCAATTTTGGTCCTGGATATTGTCATTTTACCAAGAACAGGGACCAAAAACCTTAAATAATGACCAAAATTGCAAGAGAAAACGTTTTGAGACCAAAATTAAAAAATCAGCTATACTCGAGAACCAATTATGTAATTTACTCTTTTATTTATTTAAATATCAACATAAGAGTAAATTACAAAAAATGGTCCCTGTGCTTTCTGGTTTTTCCCCTGTGTATAGTCCAAAACTGAAACCTTTTTCAGTTTTGGTCCTTAAAATAAGTAGCAAAACTGAAAAATGATTCAACTTTGGACTAAACCCGGTAAAAATAAGAAAGCACAGGGACCATTTTTGCAATTAATCCAAATATAACGAGGGTAATTTGGTCTTTAATAAAAAAAAGGAAGCACGGAATTGAATTCCTTCCACCAAGTCCTAGGAATGTGTGAAATCCATGAAACATGGAATTTAAAGGAATTATAAGAAATTGAATTCCGTCCATTTGGCAACCAAACAGTAACAAGGTGTGATCGAATGGAATTACAAATTCCAATTCCATCAGAATCCGCGAACCAAACATGCCCTAAGAGATTCAGATTCACTGAAGAACCATAATAAAGAATCCTGATTGACCTTCCTTTATTAGTGTTGATAATCTCTCAGAAAACCGCTTAAAAGTTTCTGTGAATGTCATCAACAACTGTGACTGATCATCGGATTCAGCCATCTCTTTCTTTTCTACAGAGGAATCAGAATTGAGGTTTGGTTGATTTTGGGAAGAAACAGAAACCACACCGTTTTCTTGTGTTTTGGGAGTTGATTCCATTCGTTCAGAAGGAAGGCTGATTGGCTGTTTGACTTCTTTGGATGCCACCTCTGAACTCAATCCAGCTCCTCGGAATTCAAGAATCCAGGTGTCGTATCCTTGGCTTGACATGTGGCGTGCAAATGAAGACTGCAAAAGTTTGAAACTGTCAACAGAAATAGAAACTAAAGAATGATGGAATCAGAGAAGGAATGGAATTGTTCATTCCATTCCACTGAAGAAATTTTGTTAATGTTCATTCCTTAGCCAGATGGTGTTTTGTACATTCCATCATGGAATGAAAATTTGGGATATAACCCTTTTATTTATGTATGCTTTAATGACACAGATAATTTATAGGAATTATCATTATTTTATTTAAATTCAAAATTTTATTTTCTTCAAATAACTGAAGCTATTATTTTTATAAGGGTTAATTACATAAGACCCTATTTATTGGTTTTATCGGATTAATCCTCGACTTCATTTTTTATTTTTTCTAAAAAACTCCTTAGGTTTTTCACATTTTTCGATTTGCCCCTTACATTTTTCCATTTTTTCAGATTAAACCTCAACTTTATTTTTTTTTTCTAAGAAAACCCTTACATCTTTGTATATAACCAGAAGATTACCGGTAAACCTGCTAAAAGGGCCAAACCAAAAAAATGGAAAAATGTAAGGACTTTTTACAAAAATAAAAATAAATTCGAGGTTTAATCCGGAAAAATCCAATATATAGGTAGGGTCTTTTATGTAATTAACCCTTTTTATTATAGCTTATCCGGTTTTAATGAGCTTTTATGCATTTAATTTTTTATTTGGGCGTAATGACAGAAAAGTCCTTAAGTTTGGCAGAAATGTTCGGATTTACCCTTTTGCGTATTTCTCGTTCATTAAAGCCGTAAGTTTGCAACCTTTTTTTTTCTTTCCAATTTTACCCTTTTTGCAGGTTTACCCGGTAAAACCGAACATTTTTGCCAAACTTAAGGGCTTTAATGAACCAGAAATACACAAAAGGGTAAAACTGGAAGAAAAAAAAAGTTGCAAACTTCTGGCTTTAATGAACCAGAAATACGGAAAAGGTAAAAAGGAATATTTCTGCCAAACTTAAGGGATTTTATGGTATTAGGCCTTTTTTATTTTTGTATAAAAAAAGTATTAATCATAATTAAAATAGTATAGAATAGTGTTTAATTATACTTTGTACTTACATATAATACATAAATTCATTCCATTCATACAGGCCAACCAAACATAATCATGGAATGTAACAACTCATGCCATTCAATAACAAGCAAAAAGTGTGTCAAAGTTGAAATTGTATCCTTTCCTTCCCATAAACATCGGTATAAATAATTTACCATAATGACTAATCTACCCTTTATGTATTTGGTAGTCTTTTTAATGATATTCTGTTAAGAGAGACACGAGACCAAATTGGTAAGAGATTTTTGGATTGAAGGACAAAAACTACAAGGTTATGCAATTGTCGAGGGATCATTATGTAATTCACTTCTCTTTTTCTAATAATTCCAAACAGCCAATGCAAAACTATTAGTTCAGGGATGAAAAGTGAGTTGTAAGAATAGTCCAGGGACCATTTATGTAATTCACTACAAGTATAAATTTGGCAAACCAAATGCGATCGTTAAGAAGCATTACAAAGATGCACAAAACCTTTGGTGCCTTATTTATAATTTCAAATATAATTATAAAATAAGATATATTGATAACTGAATATAATAGTTTGGATACAAACTTTAAATTGAAACATTAGTGAATAACAAGTCTTTGTGTGTGTTCATTTAAAATAATATTCAGTCCCCAACAATGACACTTAAAACTTATTAAATAATTTAAGTGATGATTATGTAAAGAATGATGAAGCACAATCATAATTCATAAAATATAAATTTAAACTCACCCCAGGAGCAAGATCATATCCAATTGCATTTGTTCCAACACCACTCAAAAGCAGTAATGGATGATTTCTTGAAGGTGTCTACAAGCATGCATAATCAAAGTAAATACATAAACATCTACAACAACAATCCTTTACTCTCAAACAAATACAGGTAGATCAAAAAAATATCCATAAAAAGTTATAGTATCATATAAACCACAGAATTTGAACTTGATCAATGAATTAATTGTATCCACTTCTTTTAATTCACATCAATATCTGTTTTAAGATCTTTCTTTTGTAGAGGCGAAATCACCTAGTCTGAGAAATTCATGACATAAAAAGATCAATTTACACAACCAAAGATATTTGTTTCCATATTACAACTGATTTGATATAGAATCAGATTCAAAAGTACTTTGCATTTTGTGGACAGATTAAAGAATATGGTGGATCAATGATCATGTACTCATGTGTACCCACATATAATCACATGAAATAAACAAATGAATATGGTATCTGTGCATTTCAACAACTTGTCTTAATCCATGAAAGTTGTTAGGATCATATGATATTTCATAAATGCTAAAGTAGTGCATTAATTGAAGGAGCTCTTTCTTCAGAAGAAAGCCAAACATAAAGAAATAAAACATAAGACAGAGAAAATATTCTCCAACTGTTAACCCATAGTTGGTATTTGTATCGTGATGGGTCAATTAGGTCATGCTATGACGTATGCTGTGAGGTTTCTTCCTGAAGGTAAGCCGCAAGTGTCGTTAGAACTGAATCACCAACAAGTGTCATCAGAGTTGTTAGAACTAGAGGTATGTTTAATAGGCGATCTTTAATTTCAATCGAATCAGATCGTAGCTTTGAGTTTTGATTAAAAACTGATGCAGGCACGCTAGTTATATGGATTGATTGGACAACTGCTTTATTCTGAGGTTGGGCATGGCGTTTTACACTCAAGAATCCAATGACATACATTTGCTATAGAGGACATAGTGTCTGTACAGAATGACATATCAAAGTGACCTCCCTTCCGATTGATAGCGTGTTACATACATTAATTTGAGCAACGATTGATATAAGAATTTCGAAGAAGAAGATGAAAGGAGAACACACACCTTAGGAGGAGGCTTGTAACGCCAGAGAGCGAGTCGCCAGTCGGAGTTATGAATTGAAACGTAATGAAGTTCATCAGCAGTACAGATCGGAGGCTTGTCAGATATTCTCTCAACGGCCGCCGCATGGAGCGGTCTCAGCCGGGGGGGCGTACGGACGGAAACGGGTCTGGGGAAGGGCGATTCGTAGCGACTGGGGTTCAAATAGCAAAAGGTAGCAGCAATTTGAATTGCAGATCGAAGATCAGATTGGAGGAAAAACATTTTCGAAGTTGGTATGAATTTACTATATCAATTCGTTTCTATCGCATGTGATGTTGTCTCCTTTTTTTGGCACAAAATCCTTCGACGTTTTGAAAGCCAACCTTCCATGGCCATTGCAGCTTCATCTGTTGCCGGGATATATCAGGATAATACATATAAAATCAGGACCTGTAAAATGTTAAAAAATGGTAATAAGTTTGAAAAACAATTCGGCACAAAATCAAATTTATTAGGTGGTTGTGATGTGATGCTAAACTTCAATTGTTTTGTATAGAGAGCAGCAGGGTGCGATTTGGTGCGAGTTTTGGACAAAATCAAAAAGTATATATTGTTTTGGGTTATCGACATAGAAGCACAATGAATTTTCCGTTTGGTTTTAAAAGGTCCTTCAATTAATTTTCGTACCTCTGACCCACTAAAGTGACAAATTACCTGCCAAATTAAGGTTTTCTCCATTTTTTTCCCGGTTACCTGGTTGGTCAACGGAAGTCAAATGTGACGTGGTCTGTGATATCCAGCTGGTGTCCAGTCAGCCTACTATATTACCTTCGTAAGGAGTCAATAGAACAACATTCACTATTTCCTTACCCTCCGACGAACACCAACCCTTTCGACCATGTCTTCCTCCTACGAATCGTATAACACCCTCGCCATTTACCGGATTGAAGTGAATCCTTCGTGTTTGTGTCGTGATCAGCCTGCGTCAGAGAAGCTTGGAAACCTAACAACCCAGGTCGTCGCTTCTACAATTGCACAAAATCAATGGTAAGCCTTCGTTACAATCGATAAGTTTTAAACCTAAAGTTTTGATTTTTGTATTGCAAACCCCCTATTTTGATCGACAAAAAACCCCATTTACGATGAGAAAACCCTAAATTTTGAACAGTGAAACCCTTAATCTGTTGTGTGGCCTTTTTTTTGTAGATATCCAACGACAGTTGCAACTTCTTCCGGTGGCTTGACCCAGTATTACCAAAACACTACAAGGATACGTTATGGAACATGAAACTTAGGATCAATGACCTTTTGGTTAGGAATGGTCAAGTTGTTGAGCTGCAGAAGAAGGTGGAGAAGCACAAGCTGCTTAGGAAAGTTGAGAAGGAACTTGTTGAAGCTATGTGACATCCCCAATTTCACGGCTAGAAAAGACCGATTTGTTTATGCTTTGTTTTTAAAAATCAGACTAATCTTTTAAAGAAAACGGTTGCGGAATTTGTTCCCAAACAAGATATGATAAAACTTTATCAAAACATTTC